GCGGGCAGGGGGTCTCGGCAGCCTGGCCACTGCATCCCGGTGCTCCACCACACCAGCGCCAAGCCGTTTGGCCAGCAAGCATCTACCTCCGTTGGCCCCGTCGGGAAAAGTCATGGTCCAGCAACCCGGAGGTGGCCTTCAGCAGACGAATGCAACTCGTGTCAGTTTGGAACAGGAAAGATTTAAAATATATATAATATATACTTTTATTATTCACCCGTTAACTCCATTATATGCCAATCATGAGCTAGTTTCAGCAGTTACATTCCCTTGATCATGTCTTTATGAGGATGCAATTAAATCAAAACAAAGGAGACCGCTGACGCCAGCGGGGGAGCGGCGGGCGGAAAAAAAAATGAATCCAGGTGGTGGGCGACTGCGTGGCTGGGTCGGTTCCACCTCTCCCGGCGCAAGTCTGGCTTCAGCGGAAAGGACGAGGGCAGCACCTCTGCCGGGCCCGGCTCCTCGGTGGTGCCGCGCTCTCTGGGCAAGGGCTCACTTACTGCAACACCAGTCCGACCTGGGGGAGCCAAAGGAGACGGCAGGTCAACACGTGCACGAGCGTCAGCGTCCTCTGCCCCAGACCCGGCCTGGGCGGACGCAGCTCGCAAGCCCTCGCTGTGCCGGCTGGGAGGGCTCAGTGTTGTCTGTGGGATATTTGAGAGCAGGAAGAGCCCTGAGCTCGTGGCCGACTGGGCATGCGGACCCTGCCCAGCTCTGATCTGGGGAGGTGACCAATGTTTAGGGTGTGACAAGCCCGGGCAGTCTGCCAGACAGCCTTGATTTATGAGCCAAGGTTGTTTCTAAGCCAGTAACAACAGATTTGGGAGAAGTTGCTTCCTGAGAGCCTCGTACCAGGACAGGCCCCTCTGCAGGCAGCCGGCACCGCTGGGTGTTCTCTGGCCGCTGCGTGACAGGACACACTGGTGGCAGTTCCCGGGCTCCAGCCCATGCGGAGCATGGGCAGCCCCACTGCAGGACACAGCCAAGGAGTGGCTCCCAGCACCAGGCTCTCCAACCCACCAGCTCTCCCAGCGAGAAAAGGGCTTGCTGAAAGCTCCCGGCAACCTCCTGGAGCTTTTTGAAAGGCTCAGAGGCAGAGGAAGGTTTAAGACACGTGGGCTTGTACCCACCGAGGCAAACCTGGCTTCACACACTCTATGAAGGGAACCAAAGCCCCGTTACTGCCGTTAAGGCATTAATTAGCTGTTGTGACGTACCACGGGCAGGCTGCACATCTTCAAGGCGGAAATACAGTAGCAACCGGGCCCAGGGCAGGCAGATGAGGTGTCTACAGCTACAAGTGCTCAGAGCCGCTGGGTGGGGAGCGAGCTGCTGGCTGTGGGGACAAGGTGACACCCCTGCGATCCCGTGGCTCAGCCCCTCTGCACATGCTGCGAGTGACTGCGCTGGCAGAGCTCCCCATCATCACGGGGTCCTGCTCAACAGCGACCCAACGGCTCTTAAGCTCGTCTGTTCTCTCTAGAGGGGTTGTTGTTCGTCTCGCCCCACCATGACAGACTGACACACAGGCTACAGGGCTGCACGGTGACACCCGGGCTTGCAGGGCACAGCAACCACCAGTGTCACATGTGTCACCCTGCGACCCTCTGCCTGTCTCCTCACTGTGCCTGGCCTCCTGCCACAGAGCGAAGAGGTTGTCCGTGTGGATGTGTGTGAGGTTAGGGACTCTGAACACACCCTAGTCCAAGAATAAAATGAGCCTGGGGAGACAAGCGGCCAGTGCTTGTCCCCAGGGACACCCTCTGTGCAGGCACAGCGGGGGGAGCACAGAGGAGCCGTCACTGGGTTCACCCACTCCTGTGTGTACTGCTGGCCTGGGAACGCCGAGGTGCGTGTGACGGCTAACTCATCTCCCTGGGGGCTGCGGGGACAAGACCCCTTCCCATGTGCCGGAGGAGCCCACCCCCCGCCCAAGGCACTGACCTTCTCTGGTGCCATGCTGGGACACTTCCAATTGTACAGGTAATACTGCAGGTTCCCGTCCCCAATCCCAAACTTCAGCTTCTCCAGGAAGGTTTTGTTTTCCATGAGATCCAGTGCATTGAAGACGTCAAATCCTTTCTGCACGGGCAAAACACGAAGCCATCAGCTCCTCCTGCTTACGTGCCGGGGAGTTCATCCCATCCGTGAGTTGCCTGCCCCCTCTCCTGCCCAGTTTTGCACCCTCAGAGGAAGGGAGCGAGGGTGATGGGGAAGAACTTGGCATCGGCATACCCACCCTCAGTCCAAGCGCTACGGACATACAGCAATATAGCTTGCTGTAAGAAACGAGTAGACACCCTGAGCTCAGCTCAATGCAAGCCAGAGGGTTCAGGCTACCCCTGCATCCCTCTCCTGGGTGGCAGATCCCTTAGGATTCAGGTTTGCACAGCCCTGGGTACAAGCCCTGCCCCATGGCCGGCCCTCCCCATAAACCCAAGGGCAGCCAGGCGAACGCTGAGCTGCCCGGTGCCCTGCCCGGTGCCCAGCGGTGCCACCCCGGCCCTGCCATCACTCACCGACTTGGCAAGTATGAGAGCATCACTCATGAGGTCGATGAGAGGCGTCTTGGTGTGAACGTTGTAGAAGGAGTAAGCAGCTTTCAGGCTCTTGTGAGTCTGGTGGTTCATGATGGTGGAGGGCAGTGTGTAGAAGCTCAGGAAGTCTGTCACCTCCCCTGGGGTGCTCTGGAAGCCAGAAGTGACACCGTAACGTGTCAGAGCCAGGCTAAAGCCTGGCCGCAGCCTTAGAAGGGCTTTGCCAGAACTGAGTGATGTGCGGGCTCCCTGAGAGGAGACTCGGGGCAGCCCAGGATGGAAGAGGCACCATTCTCCAGCAGCTTAAACCTCCCACCCTGGAAGAGCATCTCACTGCCCGGGGCAGCAACCTCCCCGATCGCTCCCGCAGCTCACTGCACACTCTTCCAGTGGAGGAAGAAGCCCAGGAAAACACCTCCCCATCTTGCTCCTGCCCCCTCACCTCTACGACAAAGGTGTCGATGATGTTCTCCTGAGGTAAGAACCAGTGCTCCACCTCCTCTCGGCTCATGACGGGTGTCAGGTGGAACTGCTTCAGGTACTCGGTCAAGAGCTTGTGCACTGCGGAGATATCTCTGTGCTCCATTGGCCGCAAGCCGGGAGTCTTGGGAGTCTACGGAAAGCAGCGCAAATCATTTGTGTTGCTTGCACGGTGGCTTTTATCAGCCAAGGGCTCTCCAACAAGCGGCACGGAGATGCTCACTGCTTAGATCAACCCATTTTCAGTCCCACACCCCAGCACTCTCCCCCCACAGCTCTACTTGCCCGGCAGAAGGATGGGTGCGATCAGCCGTGACACCAATGGCAAAGACCGCAGAGAAGCACGGCAGGTCCCAAAGCCCCACGTGCCAGGTGAAGTCCCATTGGAAGTAGCCTCCTACCCACTAATGACACAAGATCTCTGCTTCCCTCCAGGTCTCTGCTCCCACTCGCAGCAGGGACAGGCTGGGAGACATGCCCCAGGCACCACAAGGAACAGCCTGATGTTATTTCCAGTTGGACTATTATTATTACTGTTATTATTGTTGTTACTGTTAAAATATTATTATTATTATTAATGTTATTTATAATCTAGGGTTGTGATTGCTCAGCAAAGCCCAAATCAAGCAGCATGGACTGCTCCTGGGTCTGGGTTTCTGCGCACAAATCGGTAGCTACAAACCAGCAGCTGGTGCCTTTCCCGCAGCAGGAGGCAGGAGCCAGAGCCACGTGCTGCCCAGCACTAAAGCAGCTCTCTCCAACCGAAACGAGCAGCTCCAACCGACAAAAGAAAGCCAACAAGGTCGGGGAAGGTGCTGGCAATTTTAATGTTTTGTTTGTTTTTTCTCCCATAACCAGCTGGGGAACTTCCCCAGCAGGACAACTGCAGTGACAGAACAGATCAGTTTGATTGAAGAATGAGGGACTAACCCAACTCAAGGTCACTCCGAGGCTGTGTTTGGACAGATGAAGACTGTCATATCTGCATTCTCGTTTTACCAGGAGGACAGGATATGACTCACCGTGAAACAAAAGCTCACAGGGTCCTCTAGCTGCAAGAATTTGCCCTTAAAATGCAGGTACCCAGGCAAAAATAAATAAAGATTAAATAAAGCGCAATGGCTTGACACAGTCATTTGCTACATGAAACAAACCCCCAGCTCTCCAGGCAGAGGACTCGACCTCAGCTGAGATGTTTGTGTCTCCTGTTCCCAGCCTCACCCCTTGCTCAGCCAGGAGCAATTCGTGAGCTCTGCCTCCACGGCTCACAGCCCCGGCTGGCACCCACCTCGGGCAACCGGTAAAGCTTCATGGTACGTTGCATAGTCATGTTCCTGCTCAGGTGGGAAAATTTGACCTCAATGAGTTTCCGAGGATTCAGGGACCGGTGCCAGTACCTGCGGAAACACAATCGTGGAGGGAGACTTGTTCTAGGGCAGCGGAACAGCCGCATGGGCACGAGGTTCTCATAGCTGCCATGAGAGGGCAAGAGAGAACATTGCACTGGCTCGCAAAGAGGCCAGCAGCTCCTGCAGAGAAAACCAAAGGTGGCCTGAAGCGCTTCTGCTGCAAAGTCTCTTGTTTTGTGATACATGAGCAGCTTAAGCTTTCTACTGGACTTAATCCTGGAAGAACGGTGTGGGGAGGAGAAACCTGGGCTGGAATCGATCTCTCCTGTCACTGGGAATCCCACACATGCTACACACCACAGAGGGGATCCTGGCAAGGAAGGTCTGCAGACCAAAATCTCTTTGGAGAACCACAGACACTCACCTGCAAGTCCCCACAGGTTTTGGCAGCACCACTCCCGCAGTGTAAACAGCCTGAAAGATCCCCTCCAGATGAACCCGCCGCGTGATCTCACGGATCAGAACTGGAGCCACCCGTTTTGAGCGCAATTTTTTGTGGACGCACAAGAAGTTTATCTCTACCATCTTCTTCTCTCTTGGGAAAGAAACAATGCAGAGAATGAGACCCAACTGTCCTGACCTGGAAGAATCGGTCCAACATCCTGGCCCCTTCAAGAGAAAGGAGTCAAAGCCTTGGGGAAGGCCACGGGGCAAGGGCTGGGCTTGGAGAGCTCTCCTTTAAGCTGTTACCCATGGCTTTCCCAGGGAAAATGGTCTCCATTCAGCTCTGGAGGATTTCTGTAAGACAGACCTCTAAGCTGACCTCACTTGTTGAAGATAACAGCCTTCAGGGCTGCTAACTACAAGATGTCCTTGCACAGAACTTCACTGCCCACCTTAAATATGTCCCACCCTCCTCCAAGCAACAAAGCATCTCCACAGCTGAGCGGCGTAGGTCTGGCTCGGTCGGTCAGGGAGGACAACGTAGCCAGACCTCCCGAGCACTCCCAGGAAGCCGCACATGCCATCGAGGAGCAGGGTGAGAAATGCAGCTGAGCAGCACTCACGTGTCATAGATGTGGATAGCGGCTGGAATCGCGCTGATAAACCCAACCAGCTTCTTGCTGGAGACAACCCTGACTCCACAGTGCCACTGGGGCAACCAGCCCGGAGGACGCAGTGCCCTGGAGATGAGATACACTTCAAAAGTCACATCCCATCAGAGGTCCCCTGTGTAACTCCTCCTGCCACCCAGCTCCCCATGCTGCCCTGGGACACCCTGTGTCCTGCTCCGAATGCCCCACACAGCTGTGGGTTTGCAGGCAGCAGGATGTGAGGGTGACAGTGATGTGACAAGGCAGGACCGCTGGGATCCAGGACAGCTCCTGTGCTCTGTGGCCAAGGCAAGTTCTCGCTAGTGACACAGGAGGAAAGTCACGTTCCTCGATTCTTGAACACCCCCGAGGAAACGGCACCTCCACAGCAGCAGGTCTCCAAGTGTTATTGTTGGCAACATTACTTGGCAGACACCTTCATCCTACAGCTCTGGGGCACTGGGAACCTCCTCGGCTACCAGGATTTTTACAAACACTCGAGGGATCAAACCAAAGAGGAAAAAAATTTGGGCTTAGGCTCCCGTATCTCAAAGAAGCCAGAGGCAGGCAGGACTGGGCGAGAGACTCGTCCTGCAGTGTACCTGGGATACCACACACACGCACGGTGACAGAAGGGGAAGATTTCAGAAAGAAGTGAGCTGGGATAAGCAAAAGCAGCTGCAGTGCTGTCACCAGGATCAGGCTTGTCGGCATCCAACACCCTCTGCTCTGTGGCCGTGGTGCCACTCACCACAGCAGGAACTCGGGAGAGTAATCGAACCGGAACATGTTGTCATCGTCCTCCACGTAGTTCTCGTTCAGAAGCGTGTACAGCTCTTTCAGCTAAAGCAGGAGAGACCAAGCAGGTTAAGAAAGTTATTCAGCCATCACATGCCCCAGCTGCCCCCAGACGGGACCCTGAACATTTTTTGTGTGGCCACAGCAATGGGTGCCGCGTGCAGCCGTGTCCCTGCTGCCAGCACATGCCCCTGCTCCGGGCTCCAGAACCAGTGCCGCTGCAGAGCTGGGCAAGCAGCAGGACACACAGATAAGTCCTGCTGCCCTCAGGTCATCTCCCAGGGAGGTGGACCACAGTCTGGAGGGTCTGCCTAAGGCAAACTCCTGGCTCAGGCATCTTTACATCCCCATGGAGAAACCAGGCCAACCTGGCCAACATGGGATGGATGAGAGGTAACTGCACGGTGAGGGAAATCGGACTCATCTAACCCCAAGGAGATGGCGTAACCACTGAGCTGGAAGGTTGCCTGGTGTGGTGAAGGACACGTTGCTGTCCCCAAAATCATCTTTAACAGTCCAAGCATGGAATGGCTGACCGTGCAATGGAGACGCCCTCCCAACACACATGTGCCAAGCTGCCTGTACTCACCACGCCCCTATCCCCAAGGTCCAGGGCATCCCAGGTGAAGCCCTGGGGCAAAGTGTATGGCTCCTGACGGATATTGTCTTTGTCTGGCTCAACAGGACCATGGGTGTTCACCACTTCTCCTGTAAGAGAGAGCAGGGAGCCGTGAATCATAGAATCATTGAGGTTGGAAAAGACCTTTAAGATCATCGAGTCCAACCGTTAACCTAACACTGCCAAGTCTGCCACTAAATCACATCCTTAAGTGCTACATCTACACATTGGAGATCCTGATGTTACTAAAAAGCAAAAGATAAAATGACTGAGGAAAAGTCTCTGTTAATAAAATAACAACAGAATACAGACACACTAAAGTTAGGTCAAAACTACAAAAAAAAATCCCACCTGAAAAGCAGGAAACATTAGTCTTTTTGAGCTCCTTGGAGCTACTGTTTGAGGCCAAGTCTGTATGACACCTCAGTCTGGTGACCAGCGTGCTTCATGTCTCCCACCCCAGGTCGTTGGCATGGCCAGCCAGGGATCACCGTTTCACCCACCCAGTTTGGGACGTGCCACGCGATTGTCGTGACACAGGGGCAGAGAATCAAAACTCCTTCCAAGAGCAATGGTGGAGCTGATCAGGCAGCAGAGAGGAGGTGACCAAACTGATCAGAACTTCAGGACCACAGCTATGTCCTCCAGGTCCACATGCGATGCCTTATCCTTCCCCATCCCCACAATCCCAGCCTCGGCCAGCACTTTCCCATAAGACACTCCAATGGATTGTGGCTCTCTCCCCGCCAGCTCTGGCCCCTGCCATTTGGCAAGGGGGTTCCCTCCCACTGCACTTAAAGAGCTGCAGCAAACAAGACAACTTTTGTTGAAAAACACTGACTCCTAAAGCCCCCGATTCAGCCAAGAGATGTCGGTTTGAGCACCAGCTTTCTCGGGGATGTCAACACAGCAACATCACTTGAGTGTTGCCAGGAGAAGCAAGCCATGCTAATTAGGAATTCCCTTAAAAAGGGATTGAAAAGGTTTCCAGGCAATGGGGAGGTGAAGAAAAAGCCCAGAGCAAGAACTGCCCCCAACACACCCACCCAGGGCAGCTTCCAGAAACGCTCACCCCTGGCTGTCCTCTCTGTTTTGAGCAGGTGCTGAACTGCTCTGAAATCTGGCCCCAAAAATCCCACAGCACTTTTGTTACCCGACCCTAAATAGCTTCGTGTACGTAACGCTGTGTGCCAGAGCATGCTCCTGAGGAAGGACCACGTGAGATGCCGGGACCCAGCAAGTGGCCGGTAGCCAGAGCACAGCCACAGCAATCTGGTGTATGGAGGAGCGGGCTGTTGCATGCCTCTCCTTCCCCAGAAGATACCTTCCCCCCTCCAGGTTTACCCAAGCAGAACTGATGTCGCCCATGTCCAGGATCCTCTGGGAAAAAGGGCAAATGAAAGATCAGGCTTTGCTGGCTCACATAACCCTGTGCCGTCTCACTATGATTTTCCCAGCACAAAGCGGAGACCATCCCTCCCAGCAAACAGTCTTTAAGACCAAAGAAAGCCTCAGGCTGGTGCTGACAACACCAAAAGGGAATCAAACACAGCGTTTGCAAGCAAGTGGGGTTGGCTGCAACCCCATGAAGGAAATTACCGAAGAGCAGCCAATGTGAAGCCATTCTAGCTTTGGGTAAATCTAGAAACTATGGGCTTGGACTCATTCTCTACTTCTCCTGAGCTCTGCATGGATTTTGCTGGGGGATGCTGGGGTGGAGAGACTAAGCGAAGCAATCCTGGGCACCTCGTGAGTGCTGCATGTTTGCTCCAACTAGCTCGGGAACGAGCGCCTTCCAGCGATAGAGCTCTGCAGCAGCGTGCTCCTCCTCCTTTCAGATCTGCTCAGCTGCCAAGCGCTCCTGCCACGCCGAGAAACGCCCTGCTACCGACAGCAGATCGCTTTGCTGCAGGCTGACAGCATGCAGAGCAAACTGGAGAAAGGGCTGGAGCAAGGACGAGAGCTGGGAAGCACAGCCGGGCCGTTTGCGGGGGGAAGAGGGGACGAAGAGATAGGATTCCCGATCTTGAGACAGGCATGGTAGCTCAGGGGGGCAGATATTCGCGAGGTTTGTGCCTCCCCTCTCCTGGCTCTCCTGGCTCAGCTCCAGTGCCTGCCCGTGCCAGAAGCTCATGTGAGCCCAGCAAACCAACGATGTGGCAGGTCAGCATGTGGACCTGCTTCCCTGAGCGGCTCCCATCACTGGCTGGCCCCATCTCACCTCGAGTCCTCTTCCCCACCAAGGACCCCCTGCTGGGAAGTTTCAACCCCTGGAAAGGGGAGAGCTGGTTAGCTCCAAGTCCCCTAGGACTTGGCAAGAGGAAGGCTGGCAACACCCTGCATGAAACTTGGGCACAGAGGGCTGGGGAGACCCAATTCAAGAGCTAAAGACTGAGATTAAGGGACGCCCAAACGCAGGAGGCATCAGATGGGATGTCTGAAGCGGCTCCTCATCCCTCTTCACCCTCCCAGCCGCCTGCACAGCTCTCCAGCCGCAGGGCTGGCCGCTCGGTCCATGATGCTGAACGGTGGACAAGTGTCATTGATGCCTCTGATGCCCAGAGAGGACAACAGCGAGCAGTCGTCCAGTGACTTGCTTGCTGGCCAGAGACCAGCTTCTCTGGGCTTCTTTGAGCAGCCTTGGGACCACAGGGCTCCTCCCAAGGAGCACGAAATGGTGAGGGGCTGTACGTACCTAGCTTGGGCACTGGCTGCGTGTCCCAGAACTGGTAGCTCCTCTTGCTGGCTTCCTCCATGGTTTTGGCAGGGCCCTGACCTACAGAGAAGAGCTCGATGGCTTTTTGAATCTCCTGGATCCTCTCAGCAGGTAAAGAGTTCACCTGAGGGAAGAAAAGGAGGATGGAAAAACAAAATGAGTAAGCTGAGCCACCAGGTCTGTATTTCAGCTACTCATTAGGGGAATCTGGAGTTGACCCTGCCAGGAAGGGGAGAGCAGGGAGAAGACTCGCTTCCCAGCCTAGATGGTCTCGTAACCCTCTATGAGATGGATGAACCCTTTTACCAGGCACTTGGCACACACCTAGACATGGTTTCTAGGCACTCCCAGGTTGAAGGGTATAGATGAAGTGCCTTAAAATGCTTTAAGCTTCAAGAAGGCACTGACTGGCATGCAGAGAGACACCGGGGGTCAACCCACACCCAGTGTTTGGGCTTTCTGCAGTGGCTTTTCTCTCTCACTGCTTCAGCCTCCTCCATCTAAGCTGGATCCACGTCTGCAAACTGCAGCTTCCAGAGGAGTCCCTGGGCACCACAGACCAGGCCAAGGCAGAGAGGCCGAGTCAAGATAAAGGACATTTTCCTCCTCCTCAGGCAGACCTTGGCAGGGTGGGCAGCTCTGCGCTGAATTCACAACCCCAGCTCCTCCCTGATTCCTGCT